AACTCTTGGAATTGGGGCTTTTACAATCTGGAGGAGGCAAACTTTGTCTATTTAATTAGGTAGTAAAAACTAGTAAGTATCCATTTGCTTTCTACTTGGATCGTAAGATAATTTGATTACAAAATCGATAAAAAAAGGTGGACTACAAAAATATTGGGACGTTTGTCCTATATAATCTCGTCATTTTTACAATTTGGGGGTGTAGGATACGCCAAAGGGCTCAATATTTTTGAAGGCCACCTTTTATCTCGATTTTGTGATCAAATTATCTTACGATTTAGATGTAAAGCAAATGGGTATGTATGAGTTTTTAGAACCTAATTAAATAGTCAAAGTTTCCCTCCCTCTAGATTGAAAACGCCCCAATTCCCAGAATTTTTGTAAATATAATATTTTTAGGTTACGAAGAGATAAAGTTATTTACGAAGTTTCAGGAAGATGTTAATAATTTGATAAAAAGAGGTCCAATACCTACAGGACTAATACCTTCTCTCTCCTTATACATTTCTCTTTTTCCTTCTCATATTTTCTCCTCTCTCTTCCTAACCTAATTCATAAAATACATAAAGTAATAAAAAAATACTGTATCAGATAAATTATTCTCTACTAAACTTTTTTTTTTTTTTTCTGTTGGCATTATAGACCATGTAGATCTTTTGACGCCTTAACAAGCCTGTTCCATCTCTGCCTGCCTTGGGCTATTTCTTTCCATTTGTCTGCACGAACCTCTATTGCATCTATGTTGATTCTATCTATACATCTGCTTTTTGGTCTTCCACGTGGTCTTTTCCTTATATATTGAGGTATTCATTGTTACGTAGAGGCTTCCAAATGGATTACTACAAGCCACATGCCCCGCTGATCTTAACCTAAAACATAATATAAAACATACTTTTAAATATAAGAATTCAAATTTTACATATTTGAATGTATGTCTTCAACGAGAGCTTGCCTTAAAATATGATCAATTTCAAATCTTGATCCATTTAGTCATTAAATATTTATTAATATATATAATAAAATATATTTATTTTCTCGAAAAAAGTATTGTCTTAAAAATAAAAATGATTGATATTACAAATTGCAAAGTAACAAAATTATATTTTTATTCGATTACGGAAAACAGGCTACGGTGTTTCTTTTCACTATGTATCACAACCCTTTTTTTTTTTTTTTTTTTAATCTATTTATTGAATAATAATACAATCAGCCACTGCTGGAGGGCTATAAGCATTAGGGCTAAAAGTTCTCATTCATACAACATATACAAATAATAAAGAAATAAATATAAATATAAGAAGTAAATAAATAATACTGATGAAGAAGGTAAATAAAAAAAAAATAAAAAATAATAATAATAAACAAATAAAATAAAATAAAAACTTCTAAACACAATCATAACTATATACAATATATACATTCGCCCAAGAATCTCCGAACCAGGCCTTTTCCCCCACACGTGGAAGGCAAAGCAAGACTCCGGAAGATCCCAGCGCCACTTTTCCAGCCGCGTCACTAGTATTAGAAACCAACAACCCTTTTAAAAAATTCACAACTATTGTATTAATATGATTAATTTGGTATTAAAATAGCATGATAAATTGTTTATTGATAATTGAAAATGACATTTTATGGTCGAAATAAAAGAGACTGTTCCAAAGATTTATTGGTCTTGGTGGATAATTATGTTTATTTTTGATTAATAGTGAATTATAGATGGCTCAATATAATAGATGGGTTTTCCTATTTTAACGGCACATTTCATATATATATTTTTTTTATGATTTATTATTCAGTAATTATTTTTTATTGTTACACTGTGATATTTAGCAATTTTGGAAAACACAGCCCTATAATTTGTTTTTTACCCATAAAATTATGAATGTTTTTTTTTCACCCTAATTTATTGATTTTATTATGTTGTATTAATTTTGGATTATAATGCATACAAAATTAATTCATTTCTTAGCATCAACAAGTATTGCACACAACTTTAAGATTTTCTTAATTTCGAAAAAAAAATGGTTCTATTTAAAATTATAATTATAAATTTAAAAAATTGGGAAAGCTAGTAAAATTTAGTTTGTGATGATTCCGTGGTAGATAGTATCCACTGGTACTCTATGTTAGTTCAGTCTGCAAAATGCTTTGTGTAGGCATGTACTGAGCTACTACCTAATGGTAATTTAAGAACCCTAGTTCACTCGTTGTACAGTTACGTTTTATTTATTTTTATTGCTTTTTCTAAAATTCTTGTTTTCATAAAACTTTCGCTTGTGCCTCAAGAACTGCGAACATCACACTTCCGAAGTATTAATATCGGCCTTGAAGAAATCAGCTTCTAAGATTGGAAATTGCCTTCAAAACCTGCTGAAATTCACTACTCAATAGACAAATTGGGCGGCGAGAAATTTTAGAAAAGTGAAAGAGCTGCAAGTTTATAGCGATCTCTTGGCTTCAGGTAACAAAAACTAGATTGTACGAAGTGTTTGAATAATAAGGAAGGAGATGGCCTGGGGTGGCGGTCGTAAATAGCCTAAATAGTGGCAAAAGTATTTTATTAAAAGCCAACGTTTCAACCCGTATTTACAGGTTTTCTTCAGGGAGGTGTATTCAGCAAGGAGTTTCACCACAACTAGGGCCAGTTCTAAGTGAAACTCCTCCCTGAAGAAGACCTGCAAAGTCGGATCGAAACGTTGGCTTTTAATAAAATAGTTTTGCCACTATTTAGTCAATTTATGACCACCACCCCAGACCATCTCCTTCCTTAATAATACAACGGTCAACTATTAAGTATTCAACTGTTTAAATAATATTTGTTCAGTAAATTTTCATGGCCTAATTGTTTAAAAAATTATGATGTGCAATCTTTTTGTACCATTAATACGAATTCATTGTTTTCATGTGCTCTTAAATGTACTATTGTTGGATAAAATTGGTATACGCTCTTTTTCCTTGTTGCTTCTCATGTAAATAATGAGGCTATACAATATTGTGGGGTAACACTGATACAACTACTAATAGCTTATTTATTGAAATATATTACAATCTGTCTCAGGGACATTAATAATAGTGTTCACAGATCACATTCACACTCTATGTGACAGTAAATAAATAAATTATACAGAAAAATAATAATAAACAATAAACAAAATAAAATAAACCTAAAAATAAATAAATAAAAAGAACACAATGCACACCTATATAACAATATTTACAACCTTGGCGAGAGAACTCCAAACCAGACTTGTCCCTCCAACAGTGGAGGGAAAAGTATGACTCCAGGAGTCCCTGCACTCCTCTCTCAACCGCGTCACTAGGGCTAGAACCAGTGGAGATTGAAAGCAAGAGTGCTTTAGCCCACATTACACTCATATCGTGAAGTAGAATCTGGCCATTGCCAAACTCCAATATTTACTACATAAAATCGCGGGGTCGACTGCCGTTTTACACACTCCTTGGAGGATTATATGGATGGGTGGTGCTGATAGAGAATTTTGCAAGGGATTTTGGATGATGGGTAAAGTTCCTGGTGGAATTTGGAGAATTTTCTGGGATAAGGTCCTAGGACAAATGGGATATTTAAAGGTCTTGGTGTAGGGTTTTGTTGGTTACATAAGAAAGGAGCAGTTCGCTATTTTCGAAGGACTTTTGATTGGAACGGATTGGAAAATGCGTTTGATGTTAGTAAATTTTTTGCTGTTCCCCACAGATCAAGTCATAAGATCCAGATAGGTTTTCAGAATTGTCATGTAGAATCGTAACTTGTTTTTGATTTCATGTTTAGTAGCCGGTATAGATTGTTCCGTATCGTCGGTTTAGTTCCTGTCATTTTAAGTCTAGTATGAGGTTCCACGTTAGTCTTCTGTCTACGAGAAAGCCAAGGTACCGGACTGTGTCCGCAAAGGACGCTTAATGGAATTAAAGAGACTGTGGACAGGAAACTCGCGTCGGAGCGTGAAGGTGATGTGTAGGCATTTTGATTCGTTTACTTTAATTCGGCCATTTATTACACCAGTGCACAATCAGGAAGAGAATGCTCTAAGGTTTAAGGATGCAATATCAGGACTGAGTCGGATGATAGAATGGCGGTGTCATCAGCAAAAGTTGCCAGGAAAGGTATCGGGATGGACAGGGATATCAGACGGTAAAGAGGATGTAAAGACGGGACCCAATACGCTTACCCTTGAGGAACACCTGCCTCATTGGTAGCAATTCCGATAATTCACTACCGCAGCGGAACTCGAAGCGGTACGATCTGAGGAGGTAGGAACGGAGGACAAGGTACAAGTGACTGAGGAAGAAGGTTTTTTTCAAGCTAGGAAAGAAGCCCGGCGGCCCATATCCGGTCAAAAGCTAGAGCTATTCCCAGAAATGAACCGAGCAATATTGCTTGCCTTTCCAAACTGCGAAATATATCGACCACTCGTAGTCCCCTTGTGGACTGTGAGTGTTGTGAACGGAATCCGAACTGATGTGAGAGAAAATATTTGGGATTCTATAAAGGGTAGGATTCGTTTCATGAGGATTTTTCAAAGATTTTTTTGAGAGATGCTGAAGTAGGCTAATTGGTCTGTAGGACGTTGAGGTGTTGGGGAGGTTTGCCTGTTTTTCGGAAACAGGATAATGAGTGGAATAACACTGATACAAAATCAGGTTACCTGCATTTCTAATGGAGATAATGCACTGTCCCAATTTTACTCCAATCAGTGGTATAAGATAAGGACAAATTAAATATTTTTTTTAGTAAAATACTCTTGTTTCTAGAGTTATTGTTCAGCCATATTTTGTAAGAGGAAGACTGACCTCACATATTAATAATTGTTTCAGCATTTTAACTTTGAAAATAAAGATAGAAGCAGCTTAAAACTTTGAATAGTGTCCCAAAGTCACCCCATTGTACGGTATTTGTTTTACTTACTGTTAATTTTTTTAAATTATTCTATAAATTATATATTTTTGCAATTATAAAATAAGATTCAATATTTTGTTTGTTTCAGATAATCTGATGAAATATTGGACTTTTTACAAATCTCGAGTTTCTTGTTTAAAGGTAAGTTTTGGAAACTTTAAATAAATGCCTACTGATATTCAAACTTGTATTCATAATACTCTGTTGATTTTTTTCCCTCTTAGTATATAGTTTTATTTATTTTTCATAATTTAATTGAGATAAGAAAAAGATACGATGTTTTATTATTTCATTTGTATGGAAATAATAATGTATTAAAAAGGTTCCTGAATGGAGTAAACGAGTTATTTTATTTTAAATTATAGCATTATAAGGAAAGTAATATTTTTTTTATATGAAACAAAAAACAACAAAAAAAAAACGCATATATGTCAGGTAAGCCTCTGTCAGATTTTGTAAAGATAGTTTTGCTCGGCATGCTATGAATTATCGAACAAAATATAACAAATATTGTAGAATCTATTTAAAAAAAAAAGGATTCAATTGTAATTGATAAATTTTTAGGAGGGGGAAGGGTGAGGAGAGGTTTAGCTGCGTGGTTAAATCGTGTGGTTTGTAATGTGGTGGTTCGAAGTTCAAGTGTGGTTTAAGGGTCGAAGTTCAATCCCTATTTCCCTGAACATATTGGTCACCGCTGGAATCTAAAGCTTTACCCCTTTAATTAGATAGCCAACTAGTAAACACTTGTTAATAAAGACTTAATAAATAAATATTTGTTCAACTTTTTTACATTATTACTGTCCTCTTCTAACGACGATTTTAGTATTTTTTAAAAATGTATTTTTTGAATAATATAACAAGTTACTTGGACAAGAGTTATAGGGAGGTAAGAGTACATTCAAACTGTATGTACAAACAAATAAAAATAAACAGAAGCAAGATAACAACTAAATAATAAACATATATAAATAAAATAATAAAAAAATATATACAATTAATAAAATAAAATCACTTAAAGATAAGAAAATCACAAAAAAACATATATATAGCGTAAAGTACCCAATTATTGAAACTTCAAAGAAATTTACGTTAAACTTTTTTATTAAATAACCTATCTGTATGTTTCAAAATTTTTCATACTTGTCCAAGTCTGTTCTACCGAATCCGCTTATACAATGACAATATTAAGTGTTTGAGCCCGAAACCGATGACAAGTTTTTTACCAATTATTGACAGGGAAAGGAACCAGTTATTGATACCATGTTCAACCATCAAACGAGTTTATTTTGAACAAAATATTTGTTATTTATAGATACAAAATTATCACACATTAGTATCTGAAGACTTTAAAACTCTAGACTTTAAAGCTCATATCTAGATATCACAAAATGGTATGAGAAAGGAAATTATATACCGTAAGATGGGGTAACTTTGGAACAGCGGGTAAAATTTAGTTTGTGGTGATTCCGTTGTAGATACACTGTGTTGGTTCCGTCAGCATTGACAGTGCATATACTGCGCTACTACTTTGAGTCACACTACTCTTGAGACACAAGCGAAAGTTGCATGAAAATGAGAATTTTGAAAATAAGCAATGTAAATAAATAAAACCTAACTGGGCGAGTGTAGTGAAGTAGGGTTCTCAGACTGCTGCAAGATAGTAGCTTAGTACTTGCCTACACAAAGCACGTTTTTGCAGACTTAACCAACACAGTGTATCCACCACAAACTAAATTTTATCTGTTACCCATCCAGTCCCAAATTTATCCCATCTTACGGTACCATAATAGTTAGGTATATTTTAATACATTTTAATCAATGTTTAGAGAATAAGGAAATAGAACTCTTCGGTCTTTTTTATTCCCAAACATTATAGCCTTTGTTTTTGGTAACTATTTTGGCTGTGATGAAGTCACCCTTACTTACTGTCCATTCCTCTATCGCTTCTTTCTTTAGCAATCTTAAGAAATCCGTTATGGGTACCTTGTTGTTCTAATTCACAGTTTGTCTTATCCCTGCAACTCTGTCAGCAGCCTCGTTTTCGGATATCAATTTTCTACTCTCGCTATGTACATATGAAATATATAATCAGTTTAAAAAATAAAATAAAAGATACTATGGAATCTTTTAAAATCAGATTCTTTCGATGTAGATATTACCAACATGATATTTTAAAAAAAATTAATTTGATATTAATATGGCGAGTTTAATCAAAACTGTCTGAGCTGATTTCGAGAAAATGGGTGTACTTTGTTGGTATTAACTACCATCGCCGGTCAGTTGATTCTTCCGGAAAAGTTGCTGTATCATCACATAATTTTGAGCTATATAGTTCACATACACTCAGACCATTTTGTGAAACTTGATTATGAAATGAAATGAAAAATAGTTTTATTCTGGGGCTGAAGTCCCCTTAGAATAATAGTAGAGTTAAAAAATTATGCACATTAATCTGGCAAGTAGATATCATAGAAATATATACAAAAAATACTAAGAAAAATGTAAATATATATAAAGATACTAAGGAAAATACACATATATACAAAAAATTCAAAGAAAAATATAAATATCTACAAAAAATACTGAGGTAAAAATACAAATATATACAAGAAATACTGTTAGAGAAAAAAAAGTGAATAAATAAAAATAAAATGGCTGCTATCAATTAACTGCTGGTGACCGACGTAATTATATAACCCTGAAATTCTTACAAGCTTGCTGAAGTTTGAATTTGTATTAGGTGGTGGAATAGGAGTTGTTTGAAGGAGTTTATGAACTTGGTTTGACGTACGGAGATGGGTAAGCAGTTCCAGAAGGAGGTAGCACAAATGATGAAGGATTTACTGAAGGAAGTGAATTGATGGGAGTGGATATATAAATCTATAGGTTGAGACCTGGTGTTGAGAGAGTGGATAGATGAGCGTAAAGTAAGGAGTTCTAAGATGTAGGGAGGGTTTTTGGTTTAGAAGACTTGGAAAAGGAAAACACCAAGAAGGAATTGCTGTCGAGATGTAGAATAAAGCCACTTCAACTTGGTGTATCAACAGGAAACGTGAAAACGCTTGGGAATCCCAAAGATGAATCTTATGAAGCAGTTCATAAGTTTTTTCACTCTCTCCTCCAGTCCTGTGGACAGCTCTCCATACACCAATCAACCGTAGTCGAAGTGGGGGAAAACAAGGGATGCTACAAGGGATGCTACAAGGAGCTGTCTATTTTTTTTTTTTTTGGAATGGAATCACAGAATCTAAGGAATTGTTTAAGGATAGTTATGGATTTACAGGTAATCTGGGAAATAAGGTTGTTCCAAGAGAGGTTCTGATCAAAGATCACTCCGAGGTTTTTGACTGTCAGAAAGAAATGGATGGGACGGTTATTGAGGTAAAGTAAAGGAGAGAAAGGTAGGGAACTAATGAGGTGCTTGGAACCGATGAGGATTGCTTTAGTTTTGTTTGCGTTCAGCTTTAGTTTATTTTTTTCTGCCCACCTGTGGATACAGTTAACATCTTCTTGTAGTTTTCGGGTAGCCTCGGGAATCTCAGATTGATGGAACGATAAGTAAATTTGTAGATTGTCTGCATATAAGTGATAGTGAGAGTGACGAATGGAGTCAGGAAGAGTTAGAGGGAGGCTAAAATTTGGAATCAAGGGACTTCAAAACTGGTATTTCTGTTGAACTTTCTCACCATTATATATTTTATATACAGATACCTAAAGTAAAATAAAATGTTTTCCGGAAACGAAGCTGCTAACAGAGATGCAGGGATGAGACAAACTGTGAAATAGAACACCATGGTACCCATGAAGGATCTCTTAAGATTGCTGAGGAAAGAAGTGATAAAGGAACGGCTAGATCAGTAGGAGAGGTAGACACAAATAAAAGGAAAAAGCTATTATCAAGTACAGTGTGATCCTTGTTCTATGATTTGCTTTGATTCGGCGATTCACACAAGAAAATACAGTATAAATTGTAAGACTGTGGACTAATCACGATTTAGGATGAGATATCGAAGGCCCTATATCGATATTAATATTGGCCAATATCTATCGATACCATCAAAATATCGGACTTGATATATCGATAGTAAATATTTTCATCGATATTATAAACACTTTTGAAAAATGAATATCTATATAAATATTGATTCTCTAGCCCATAGGCTCATCAAAAAATATGTTATTTACCTCATTAAATTAATTAATGGATATGTCAATTATTCTATCCTCCTTGGTAAAATTAATTTTCACCAATTAATAGATGGTAAATCAATATTTAAAATAAATATTGATTCTCTAGCCCATTGGCTCATCAAAAAAGATGTTATTTACCTCATTAAATGAATTAATGGATTTGTCAATTATTCTATCCCCCTTAGTAAAATTAATTTTCTAGTTCCTGTCTATCTCTGCAATCCTCAGAAATTACCCAATTATGCCCTGCCATTCACTTATAGGTCGGATTCATCGAAATGATAATTCATTTACATCTTAAATAGAATTCTTTGACAATTCGTAGTCTTAGTTTAAAAAGGTTCTAACAAATTTGGACAAATTGAGTTTACTGAACGAGAAGAGTCCAACGTGCGCTATTCGACTTAATGCGCTATAACTCAATTCCTATCGATGGCTATCAATAATCGATATTATCGAAATATCAATATTTTTTTCTGCTATGCACTACATTCTATATTAAACAGGCTAGATGAGCGTATTTTTTTTTTTTCTAACGATCAGATTCATGTATGATTCCTATCACTTTCCGAAAACGATAGTTCGATTTTTATTACTTTCCTACCTATACTAGGTAAAGAAAGTATTGCGATCGGGTCAAATTTCCGATATGCGGTTTTCGACGGTTCTATACGTTTCAGAGCCCCTTGAGTTCGAAAAACAATTTAAGCCATTGGTCTGTCTGCCTGTGCCAAGATTTTCTCGGAAATAGTTAACCGATTTTGATGCTTCTTTTTTTATTTTGTAGGTTTTGACTACTGATGCCTGTGACAGAAATTGGTGCTCCATGCGCAATAGCTGCGACAATAAATGAAAAACATGTTTTTCTATAGACTGTAGCGCGAAAACGGCTCTAACGATTTTGATGAAACTTTCCTATAATGTTCTAATAATTGTCTTTTCAATTTTCG